CACGTAGCGAGGCTCGACATCAAAGACAAGGCTCGCCATGCAGTGAGGATCGACATCAAGGACAAGGTTCGCCAACGCAGTGAAGTTCATCACCCACATTAAATCAGGCTGTAACGGCCACGAAGACCCAGTCAGCCATGTGGGCTAGATTCAAGGAGTCAGTTACGCCACGACTCCACAATTTTAGTACATCAGTTACGCCCGCGACTCCACGATTTTAGCACGTCGGTTACGTGCTCAAACTCCTATAAATAGCCTCGAGCAACAATTAAGATGAGACTGGACTTGGGCTTTCGATACTCAGACTTGAAGATCTTTGGCTATCGCGAGAAGAGAAATCGACGTTCGTATTCTAGTGTTCTAACCCACGTCAGAAGCTCTTGTGATCTTGTTCTGATCGTCAACAGGAAGCAATCTCGACTCAAGCATCGAGGGAAGCATCATTTCACCACCAAGAATCCACGTTAAATAAGGAGAAGCTGGATTAATCTTCTCTTCCTCTGTAATCGAGAGATTGTGAGTGATTGTAAGGGTTTCGTACCAAGTGATCGAACCTAATTTTCTTAAAACAAGAGAATCAATAAAACATTAATTTTTGGACCCTACACTGCTTCTGCCTTGAGGACTTTGAGGGGGCTTGGAATTATGTGTTTAATGTCAAGGTTGAAGTAGTCCTCAAACAATGGAGGCATGAGATCAAACATGAAACCTATGACAGGTATGAGGAGGACTGGCAGAGGTTTTTAGACCTTGATGATCGAGTTGACGAGATTCATTTCACGGCTCTCCTCATGTATTGGGACAGCGATGCCGCCAAGATTAGTTTCATGAAAATTACTTTATAATTTTAAGATATTATTTTATTGCATATTTACAAATTTTTTTTAAAGAATAAATCCACGAAGGGGTCAGAAAATAGAAGAAAGAAGCTGCATGACCACCACTTGGGCTCACACTTCTATGTCAATCTGGAGAATGTTTATTGTCAGGATACGGTATATGTCATTTAAAGCTTTAAAAGATCTTAATGCTTAGTATGATTATGAAATCTCATAATTTATAATATGACAGGGAAAATCATTAATGTCGATACACTTGAGGGCAAAAGCGGCGTATGGTACTTTCCGTGATAGATATAGGGGTGATGAGAAGAATCGGGATAAGATCAAGGCAAATCTCGAGTTGGTGGTGAGAATTATACATATCTTGAGTAGTATTATTAATTCTACTTTGTTGTTAACATTACGAGGAAACGAGAACACAAATAATATGGTCATTACCTTGAATTAACTATAGATTTGTGCTTTAGGAGGGATTTGGGGTTGCATCCAATGAGGCTACATATGTGTACATTTCGCAGGAGGAGGAACAAATCGAGCCGGACCCTCACATGCTTTCTGCAAAGGAGAACATCAATTTTACACAGAACATGATGGGTCATAATAGGAAAGGATGGTAAAAAATTGAATCAATTTGAATACTACATACTATTTATATTTGTTTACCATTATTGAATTTGAGAGCAAAATTTAATATTTATTTCTCCCTAATAATAGGAGAGGAAGATATCCTCTGCATGGTATCGGAGCTTCACCCGACATAAGCATGAGATCATCCACAACATCCTCCACGCCATCTACATCAATGAGAGCAACCACAAGTAGTTTCCAGGCTATGACATTTTTTGTACGTATCTCTACGTATCTGATTGACAAAATTGACCCGGAGCTGCATATTCAGGTGACTAATGAGATGACTAGAGTTGCGCTAACGGCGAACTCGATGGACGATCTCATGGGGTATATTATACAATATTTAGGCAATGCGATTCCTTATAGCGCGTATGGTGATATCATACGGATCATTAGCTCAATTGGCGATAATTCTGACGCTAGACAGAGCAGTGCTCAGGTACCTTATTTTTTCTTATATTTATAAATTCATTTTTATTTAATATGTTATCAAACACCACATAATGATTATTTAATTGAACATTCAAAGTGGATATATTAGAGGGAGCAGCACTTGTTCTCGTAATCGGGATAGAGATACCCCCACCGACGACGATGGATGAGGTTTTTTTATTTTTAATGTAACAAACAGTTTTATTTGTTATAACACTACATTTATTCATGTCGTGTATCCTATCTTAGTCATGTACATTGTTAGTATATATGTTGTTTTATAACACTACATTTATTCATGTCGTGTATCCTATCTTAGTCATGTACATTGTTAGTATATATGTTGTTGGATGTATATATTAGACGGAACTGGTTGACGTATATTTTGAAGTGGATGGTTGGATTTGTACAATGTGTTGGATTTGGTTATATTTGGTTTTGAATGGAATTGTTATGAATTTTGATTATAATTGGATGGTTGGATGTATTCATGTGTACAGTATTTTCTGGATGTATTCATATATTAATGTAATTGTACAGAAAAATACAAATTGTAATTAATTTTTTTTGCTGGAAAAAAAGCAACCTAGACGGAATTCCGTCTAGTCTGGCAAACTAGACGGAATTCTTACTTCCGTCTAGGTTGATTTCCGTCTAGATTGATCAACCTAGACGGAATTCCGTCTAGTTTGATTCAATCTAGACGGAAGTAAAATAAAAGGACCTAACTAGACAGAATTCCGTCTAGTCGAACTAACCTAGACGGGATTTGGATCAACCTTGACGGAAATTTCCGTCTAGGTTGCTCATTTTTCTACTAGTGAAAGTTAGGGGTTTAACAATTTGAAACAATCCATCTTGATTTGTCAAAGCACAATAGAAAACTTTCTACATTCGAAAGATAAAAATACTAATTATCTGCAGCAACATCCAACCAAACATTTCCATTGAAATTTGGACATAATTAACTGCAACATGTGACTGAAACTACGCATATCAAACACACCTTAAGATAAACTAGAATCGTACGAAAGAACTTGAAGATATGTAGTCAGCTCAGCTGTATATATATTATATATATATTATATATATTATATATATATATTATATCATATTATATATATATATATATATATATATATTATATATATATATATATATATATATATATTATATATATATATATATATATATATTATATATATATATATATATATATATATATATATATATTATATATATATATGAAAAATAAACCTTCCGTACCAAGTTGCCTTAAAGCATACTTGGTAGTGATGTGAACATAATCTAGTCCCCTACATACTCGAAGATAGGCCTCAACCACCTTTACCAATCCAAGAAGAGGACAAGATACCCAACACCACCAATTGCTATGGAGCAACTTAGTACCAAAGTTCTCCATTTTTCTATATATGTGTGTGTGTCGCGCGCGTGTATATATATTAAAATATAAAAATATATATTATATATATATATATAAATAAAATATATAATATATATATTATATATATATTCATTTCAGTAAACTAAAAAAAATTATATGTAAATAAACAACAAGAAATGAAAAGCACACACACAAAAAATTTGATGATATGCAAGTTTCATAATAAAGATGTGAAATGTTCAAACAAATATAAAAGAATTGAATCAGAAGTTATTAGATATGGAGCCTTCTTTCCATGTAAGTACAGCTTTTGTAAATTAAATGAGGCATCTTGAAATTCTGGGTAAGCCCAACATAAGTACTTTACCCTTTTTTAGTCTACAGAAGCATATGCCTAATCTCTTGGCGTCATTAATATCTCTACATAAATTCTGCCCATTATATCAGAAGTGTAAAATTCTGTGAGCTATTAGCCATATCTAAAGCATTGCAGGAGTTTGATTACTGAAACTGTTGATGTCACAAGTTAGGTTGTGGGATTTAGGGCAGATTTTGATGAGCTTAGGGTCCATTAATCTCCGTCTATGACTGATTGCTAAGCGGAAGAGAGTTTTGCATACAAGCAACACGATCGAAGTTGGGTTTTTCGGTGATTTCTCCGACGATCGAGTCAGTAATGTTTTGAAGTGGAGGAAAAATTATTCTGGTCTCTAAGTGTGCAGAAGTTGTGTACCCTTAGCCAATAAGTGATATGCCTGTTAATACCGAACCCATGAGGGCATTTATGTAATTTTGATTGAGTCCATGCAGTCGGCTTAGTCAGCTGGTACATTTACAGGTGTCGGAATTTAGGGAGTTCGAGTCACTCTTATGATTAATGTGATGGTGACAGAGGGCTTAAAGTATAAGCATGGTCTGATGAGTCATTACGACTCTGACGGTGGTGCAATGGTGACTTCGATCATGCATTTAATGCAATAGTCACTAGCTATCGTTGGTGGGTTCGAGGAGCACCGCCTTTCGTCTTGGCTCTCTGAGAGGGCCAAGAAATGGACGCCTTTTTTGACTCGAGCACTCTAATCGGGTTCAATCAATAGAGTCCGAGTGAGGACTCCTTTCACCTCGGCCTTCATGATGTTCTGGTCGAGTTGGTATATAGTTTACTTGAGACAATTATTGGCATCTGAAGTGATGATTAACACTTAGCTATTTCTATGATACAAAACTTACCCCTTTTGCTGGAACTTGGGTGGCCGAGTTTGAGTGAAATTAAGCCTGTTGGGAGTCTGAGGCACATTTATGAGGGGTCATTGATATTGATAGGTCGTTGTTGATGTGACGTACTAATGTCAGAGGAGATCGTGGGTCGGCGTTTCTTCAGTTTTTGAGCGGGGATCATGTGCCACTTAAAGAGAATGACGCTTCAGTTATTGAACGGTCGCCTCGAATTCAGGAATTCTTTCTAGCCGTCCATCAATAGTCCCGTTCACCGTCAGGATCGCGCGACGTGTTGACTCCTCTGCCTATATATACACTTGCTCTGTAATAATACTAAGTTTTATTTGGCTATATATATAAGGAAAAGTATATGGGTTTTTATGTAAAATTTGTTAGAGGGTTCTAATGACAAAAAGCATTCCAATAAATACCCCAAAACCCTACTGTGTGTAAATTTTATCTGGCCGCCTCTATATTTATCTATCTAGTTCTTTTCTCCACAGGGAAAAAAAAAAAAAAAACCTAGAGCGTTCCCCTTCATCGGGCCGGATCTCGGCGCTGCTCCTCAATGTGTTTTCAGACCGAAGGCTCATTAAGCTTGCGGCTATAGAACAAAATCCAAGACCTTTCAATACTTTTGTCTAAAGATAGGTATAGTGAAGCACTTGTTTTCTTTTAATTCCTTTAGACCTTATATCATCTTATATGATAAATTAATAAAGATGCTTACACGCAGGTTGCTTATAGAAGATAGAATATTAGTTGTTTGAGTTTTAGATAGAAGCTATAGGTTCTTTTGTCTTTTTGTAGCAATAAAAAAAAACAGAAACTATTTTGCTAAAGTTTAATAATAGATTATGATCTTTTAAATAGGCTTAGTATGTTAACGTATCAATTGTTTATAGGAGGATCATATTGATGGTTGTTTGAATTTAATCTTTAGGAAATTCTAGAGGCACTGTCGAAACGTCGGGAATTGGATTGGTTTGTCTATCAAGTTAATGTAAGTGGTGAATTTATGCATTGTGCGCTGTGTATTTTTTTTATTAATTATATGAAGTATACTTGGATTTGTTCCTGACGGATTATATCCTTCGTATGAATACTGGTATATCATTTGTTGATTGGTTTGATTTTGTGATGCTCATGGATATTTTGGTATAAGCCTATGCGTATTTTCTTTATCAATTGTTATGTCTTTTCATATAGTGATAGATTGAGATGCATATGTGTTTGATTCATTTTACTATTGGTTAGCCTTTGGCAATTTTGTATAACATACTTGGTTATATGAACTTTGTTCATTTTTTTTAAACATATGCATCTCAAGTCAATATACCGGTATATGTCGGATATAAGCAAGCTATTAAAACAGGACTCAATGTGCCTCTATGAGATTTTATTTTAGCGCTAAGAGCCCAAATTGGGTCTCACCGTCCCGGAACCACGGGCTTAATAATTGTGGGGTTTACCGAGTCAACCGGATTATGAAGTGTTGACCGCATTGAGACGTAGCATGCTTATTTCTATTCCATGATTTCTAATTTTCTTAAATATTTGTATCAAATACTAGAGTTCATTAATGATTCTATATCATTCTTATATTTTGTTTATTTCTCGTTGTAATATTTTAGTTTTGCAAAACCAGTGTTTAGTGTATGAATTTATCCACTTATTGAGTTGTGAACTCATTGTGTTATTTCTATTCTTTTCAGAGACTCGGGATTAGGTGGAATTGAGGATTGTCAAATTCTTAGAACGAAGCAAAGAATAATTCGAGATTGTTATTGTCTTCTAGGCGAATGTTAAATAAAGTCTTTAATGTTTAGATGATGAATTGAGAGTTTGTAATAATGAGATTCTTTCTTTAGGTTGAGATTTATTTGGAGTTGAGGAATATTTATTTTTATCAAGTTAATTGGCTTAGTTGACTTTTGGGATTATAGAGAATATTTGTTGTTGGTTTTAGTTCAATGAAGAGATTTGTTTTAGTGTTCTTTTAATGAATGTATATTTTGGAGGACTTTTCACAGGTTTAGTCCGGCTCTAATATTCCTTTGAGGTTCGGAAATTGGGGTCGTGACATGCTCTCCCAAGGGGTTAGCTTTACTTGCTCTCAAAAACCCTAGAATTTTCTCTATAGTTTGAGCGATTTCTGATCATCCTCATTCTTCTCCGACGATCCATTATTTAAATTAATGGCATCTTTCACTCCGATTGCTTCTGCTCGGAACAAGGCTCGAATCAACTTGTTTCGGAAGTTCCACGCAAAGGTGCACTCAATGGTGTTAGAAACCTACTATGATAAATTCGATATTCGCGAGAGCGTTCACCTTGTCGGTGCTGGCGAAGGATCAGGCCGTGTACAACCACAATGGCGATGTCGCTCCGGTGTACATCAAGCATCTGGAGTACGTTTTGCATCTTTTTCTGATCATCCCTATTCTTCTCTGACGATCCATTCTTTAAATTAATGGCATCTTTCACTCCGGTTGCTTCTGCTCGGAACAAGCCTCGAATCAACTTGTTTCGGAAGTTCCACGCAAAGGTGCACTCCATGGTGTTAGAAACCTACTATGATAAATTCGACATTCGCCAGAGCGTTCACCTTGTCGGCGCTGGCGAAGGATCAGGCTGTGTACAACCACAATGGCGATGTCGCTCCGGTGTACATCAAGCATCTGAAGTACGTTTTGCATCTTCCGCTTCACCCTTTCCTCCGTCATACCTTCGAAGCTCTAGAGTCGCCATCGCAGATCAAACCAAATTACATGGCTACACTGGTGGGATACATCGTAATCTGCCTCCAAGTAGAAGTAGAGCCAACCTTGAGGATTCTCAACCATTTGATCAACATCAAAGTCAGCAAATATGATGGACATTTCTATTTCCAGGATTCAACACTACAAATAAAAGCAACTGAGACATCCAGATACATGGACTTGTACATGGCTGCACCTTTTTCTTTAACATAAATAAATAAAGAAATATAAATTCAGCACAATAAATATTTATTGGTCAAACACACGCACACACTACCAAGGACGGATCCAGCTTAAGAGCTTTGGGGACATGCCATAACACTGCAATTTAGGTTTTATAAGAGCAAACGTATATACATATGCATATATACATACACACACACTAGAATATGAATATGAAAATTGACTTCTATTTGAATAGGTGCGCCTCCATACAGTATTTACCTCTTGCCCCCATGTAAGGAACAATTATGAAGGATTATTGTTGAAACTTAGTAAAAAAATTTTGTTTTGTATGGAAATAAAAATTGGTCATGTATTGATATAAAAGTCTGGATGAAAAGTATTATATGTTGAGATCTTTGTTATTGTTGTATAAATAAGTTTATTTATTAGTAGAATTTATATTTTATAAGTTATTAACCTATATGGATACTAGTATTATGTGCCCCCATAAGAGAAAAATTCTGGATCCATCCCTGCGCACTACACACGTTGATGATATGCAAGTTTTGTAATCAAGAATTGAAAGATCCAAAGACAAATTAGAGAATAAAAAATGATCTTGAATGAATCACTCTTTTCATGTAAGTAAAGATTTTGAAAGTAAAGCAAATGCATCTCTTCAAATTATATAGAACCTAGATAAGCCCAATATAAGTACTTTAAACTCTTTCATGTGTACAGAAGCATGTCGATGCTTTTTGTACATCATTAAAACCTATGTGTCTGTATAACATCTCTACAAAAACTCTGCCATCATATCTGAACTGTTTTGCATATAGAAAGCATTGCAAGGGTTTGATTGTTGAATTAACAACAGATAAGAAGGCATAGGTTGAAGAATTACAGAAAATCAGAAAATTCAGCAGAGAGTTTGGCGGTTGACCGGCGCGGTCGACCGCAAACGTGCACCAAACCGACTGGGAATCGGAGTGTGTGGCGGTCGACCGGCGCGGTCGACCGGAGCTGGTGGCGGTCGACCGCCCTGCGGTCGACCGCGAGACCTGCGCGGTCGACCGCCGCGGTCGACCGACGATGATCTGGGCTGGGCTTCAGGTTTTGACCCGATTCGGTTTTAAGTTGATATATAAACTAAAACCAGATTTGTTAGGCCTAATGCAAGGACAAATTTGAGCAGCCTTTGAGAGAGGATTGTTGCATCCAATTGTGGGAGAGCTTTGTGAAGAAATTACATAAACTCAGAAGAATCAGGCAAACCGGGCGGCGGTCGACCGGTCCGGTCGACCGCATTCGTGCACAAAGCTTACTATGCGACAGAGAGTTGGTCGGTCGACCGGGCCAGTCGACCGACCGAGGAGCTCTCTGGATTTTTGGGTTTCTGCTGGAAGGTGGTCGGTCGACCGGGCCGGTCGACCGGAATTGATCGCGGTCGACCGTGCCGGTCGACCGACGTCGTTTTGGGCTGGGCTTTCAGGTTTTTGACCCGTTTCGGTTTGAAATCTATATATATCCTAAACCTGATTTGTTAGGGATAAGAAGGACGATTTTGAGCAGCCTCTAAGAGAGATTTGTTGCATCCAATTGTGAGAGAGCTTTAAGAGATCTAGAGCTTTGTTTTAGGGTTTGGTCTGAGAGATTTGTAACCCTATTTGTATTCTCTTGATTTCTAGTAGAAAGAACTCCCCCCTCCTTGCCCCGTGGACGTAGGCAACTTGCCGAACCACGTAAATTCCTGTTCTTGCTGTGATTGTGGTTTGCATATTATTAGTGGTTTAGTTCGAGTTATTGTTCGTGTTGCCATAGAAAGCTTCCGCCGCGCACAACAATTGGTATCAGAGCTAGATCGACAATATGGGAGATGCAAGCACGTCAGGTTCGTCTCTAACAAAGGCGATACAGAGTCTGAGCATCAATAACACGAAGATTGATGTTCCGAAGTTCGATGGCAAGATCAATTTTGGATTGTGGAGGTGTCAGGTGATGGATGCTTTGGATGCACAGAATTTGGAGGAGACTCTTGAGTTAAAAGAGAAACCCGCTGAGTTGGAGGATAAGGTTTGGAGAAAGATGAACAGTAGAGCTTGTGGTGTTATTAGGTCATGCTTGACGCCGGATCTTATTTATGATGTTATGAACGAGACGTCGGCGAAGAAGATGTGGGAAACACTCAATGAGAAATATCTTACGAAGAGCATTGAGAATCGGCTTCACTTGAAGAAGAGATTTTACCAGTTCAAGATGAAGAGAGGGGTTTCCATCAGGGAGCATGTCAACAATTTCACTAAGCTACTTTCAGATATGGCCAATGTTGATATTATAGTTGAGGATGAAGACAAGGCGATGCTACTTCTGTGTTCGTTGCCCGAAGATGATTATGGTACGTTCGTTCTCACTATGATCAATGGAAGAACTACAGTTAGCTACAAGGAGGTGACCTCAGCTTTGGTGAACTATGAGTTGAGGAAGAGTGATGGTGAACCCTCCGAGAAGGCATCGGGAGATGCGTTAGCAGTTCGAGGCCGAGATCCAAACCGTCGTCAGTTCAACCGCTCAAAGTCAAAGAATAGGAGTGCCTACAAGAGTGTTGGTAGAAATCAATGTCGGTATTGTAAAGAAGAAGGACATTGGAAGATTGACTGCCCAAAAAGGAAAGAAAAATACGGAAAGAATAAGGGGAAAGCTGCACAAGCTTCAGAAGTGAATGTTGCAAAAGCTATTGGTGAGCATTCAGATTCAGATTCTTCGGGTTATTCATGTCCTGCTTTACCGTCGGTTTGCTATGCGGATTCCACGGAGTGGATGATGGATTCGGGAGCTACATATCACATCTGCCCTAAGAGGGAGTGGTTTTCTAGCTTTGAGGAGCTGGAAAGAGGGGATGTCGTGCTTATGGGTAATGATCACGTATGCCCTATTGGTGGTATTGGTTCAGTCCGGATCAGGATACATGATGGTGTAGTGAGCGAATTAAAGGAAGTGGGGTTCGTGCCGCAGTTGACGAAGAACATCATTTCTCTTGGGACTTTGGAGGCAGCAGGATATCGAGTGATCTTAGAGGATGCTACAGTGAAGGTCACGAAGGGTTCTATGGTGGTGATGCGAGGTGTCAGGGAAAACTACCTATACTACTTGAAGGGCAAGACAGTTACAGGGGGTCTGGCAGCTTCTATCACTACAGAGGAGGACACTACCACCTTATGGCACATGAGACTTGGACACACAGGAGATAAGTCCCTACAGTCATTGGCTAAACAGGGGCTATTGAAAGGTGCTAAGACCTGCAAGATGGAATTGTGTGAGCATTGTGTACTTGGGAAGAAGACTAGAGTGAAGTTTGGCACCGCTGTTCATAACACCCTAGGTACATTGGATTATATTCACACAGACGTTTGGGGTCCTTCCAAGAACACATCTTTTAGTGGGGCCAACTATTTTGTCACTTTCATTGATGATTATTCCAGGAGGAATTGGGTATACCCGATAAAGCATAAACATCAGGTCCTAGATATTTTTGTGGAGTGGAAGAAGAAAGTGGAACTGCAGACAGGTAGAAAGGTGAAGACTCTACGTTCAGATAACGGTGGAGAGTACAAGAATGATCCATTTCTGCAGTTTTGCCGGGATCACGGCATTAAAAGACACTTCACAGTTCGAGAGACACCGCAACAGAACGGGGTGGCTGAGAGATTGAACCGTACCTTGCTGGAGAATGTGCGGTGTATGATGATGCAGAGTGGATTGCCTAGATCCTTTTGGGCCGAGGCGTTAGTTTATGCAAACCATCTCGTGAACAGGTTGCCGTGCACTGCGATAGACGGGAAGACTCCTTTGGAGCGTTGGTTTGGTTCGGTGGCTAGTGACTATGAGTCGCTTCGGATATTCGGGTGTCCAGCTTATTATCATGTTAGTGATGGTAAATTAAATCCGAGAGCGAGAAAAGCAGTCTTTGTGGGATTTAGAAATAGAGTCAAAGGCTTCAAGTTATGGGATCCACAGGACAAGAAGATAGTTATTAGCAGAGATGTCACATTTGACGAGGCGTACATGATGAGGCCTCG